AGCAACTTTTGCCTTGACACCCCCCCCCCCCTCCACGCACACACACAAAACATCAATTGGAGTTGTATGTCGAATCGCTATTCATTGTCAATAATAAAAGAGTCCGAGTTAATAGATGACAATTTATAGGACGTAGATATTTTATTTGTAATATTTCATTTGTGAAATTTTATTTGGCGATGTTACCTAAATCAATAACGTCTCTCCTGTTGATTATCATATAGTTTACTGCCCCCCCCCCCTCCAAAAAAAACATCAGTAAGACAAATTTCGTGTACAAATGAAATATATCATATATTGTCTATTTCTTTCTCGTTTGAAAAATCTTATACTTGTACTTAGGTCATACAATATTATTGCACATAAGAATATTACCAATCGTAATATCGTAAAAGGCGTACATCATCACGAAGAAAATGGATAGTTACTTTGTATATCGATTTATCTAGAGATGATTGTTGTTTAAAAGAAACAAAAATAAAGTAGATTAGTATGTAGGCTTAATTAAACATTGTCAAACAAAACAAAATTCATAAAAGTGAACAAAAATACTAAACTGCAGGTCAGACATTCCGGCGGTGGATCTGTCTTTGTATTGTAGCAACAAAAAGGTAATGGTATTTTAGAAAGGTACGTACACACATGCAGAAGACAGCAGCGTTAAAAACTACTTGTAATGTAAAAGACCGCCTTGATCAAAACATCATTTATTTTCAATTACATACAAAAATATTTAAATACATTAAGCAAGCTTTATACATTTTATTTCACTTTTTACTGCAACTGCTGAAGATATATTTTGCTTGCTTATCTGAACGCGGTAAGCTTTTTACGTCAAATCCTATTGTGACGTCAGCAAACCCGCGATCTACCTTAATAGGATTTTCTGATTTTTTTCCAACATATGATGAAAACATGCCAAAACTAATTTTCTATCAGAGATCATTTATTGTTGTCAATAGAGTAAAATTTTTTTTTCCTCCGGTACTTTTTAAGAAATAAGTTGAAATAGAATCCAGGTGTTCTTTGCACTACCTTAAGTTTCATTTTATTGGCATCTTTTCAGCGTATCCATCTTCCATCTTTCGTGTTATTTAATTGGTCCTATTATTAATATCATTATCAATACATGAACTCTCTTGGATCAATTTTCATTGTATATTAGCATGGGAATTGAGCTGCAGCTGTTGCGGCAAAAACATAAATAACTTCAGCGGGTTATGCGGATTCTGCAATTGACTTCAACATTAATTCCAGTACTAACAAAAACATATACAGTTTATGTAGTTTATTTTGATATATGTATGAATAATGATATTAAGTTAATTAAGGATTGAGTAATCGGAATAAATGGACATTGAACGCGATGTTTATAAACTAAATAAATATTTGTCAATTAAGAGTTAACGAAAGAAATAAACAATAATTGATTTAATGACTTTATTAATTCAACATGTATAATTTAATGACAAAATGGTGTATGTTGTATGTTTTATATGGGTACAACCTTATTGATTTATTAGGTAATTTTGATGGTCAAAACTCGCAAATTATTGATTGTATTAATTATGAAGTAATAGATATCTGATAGTCTTACGTCATCATAACATCATTTGTCTATATAAAGCGAGTTATGTCCAAGACACGATGTAGTTACGATATCGGCATATTACTTTTTTAAATAGTTTTCTATGATATTTCTCTGTTCTCATGTGTTAATTACGATACTTTCTGCTTTAAGACTATTTCTTTACTGTCAATATCCTCGATATCGTGCCGATGTTGAATCATGGTTGTTCCAAGAATTGTGGTTTCCATCCTTAATATTGTGTGTTTAACAACTATTACTTAAAACTTTCTTTATATAACTTTCCCTGTAGTGTCGATATCGTCGATATCGACGATATCGCTTCGATATCAAATCATGTTTGCTCAGCCCTTGGTAAATACCTGCCCTGTTACTTTGATTGTGATTATGTTTAATTACTTTATTTTTACGAAGATTCTACCTCCCATCGATATCGTCGATATCGACGATATCGTATCGATATCGAATCATGATTGTTAAAATCATATTACTTTAACAATCTTTATTTTTACATAACTTCTGTGTTTCATAAGTTTACCTTTCTGTCGATATCGACGATATCTATCGATATCGAATCATGATTGTTTAAACATTTACAAGAATTGTTACCCTAACCCAACATCTCACTTTAAATCTAAGCTAAAACAATAACAACCCTTATACTTTCTTAATCATAATTTATTTTCATATTCATGCCAATAATGAATCAATTTTGACTTCAATTTGACTTTGTAAAATCATGTTATACCTCATTGTGAAAATGAATTGTGCAAACAGGATCGATGTCGATACGATATCGTCATGATATTGTCGATATCGACGACATCGACATTATATAGAGTCTCAAATATGATACCAAGTATTTCCAATTAATAGTGCTGATCACGATCGATATCGATACGATATCGACATAATATTGTCGATATCGTCGATATCAACATCGAATTCGTTCTGGGACATGTATGGATAAAGTGACCTAAGTAAATTTGGGGAACGACTCCGTATACTTCGGTTATAAGACGGTACCAAGTCTATGTATACAAAACCAATGAGGGAACCAAGTTACTGTTAGTATTAGGAAAGTCCTGGATTGACCATCGGTTGGTCACCTTTTTGTTAACCAAATAACGTTGTACCAACCAAGTAATAGTGTACCATTTTGTGTGTTTACGAGTGAACCATTTTATCTTCACAATAAATGTAACAAACTTTAAACAAGTTTTATTCCTAACTATTTAGATACAAACATTATTAAAGTGGTCATTAGGTTAGCCCATTGAGTGTCCAAAAGTTGGTCATTACGTCAACCAAATAAGTGACCAAAAGTTAGTCATTACCTTAACCAAATAAGTGACCAAAAGTTAGTCATTACCTCAACCAAATAAGTGACCAAAAGTTGGTCATAACCTCAACCAACTAAGTGACTAAAATTGGTCAAACTGTTTCCAACGGAACCATCAAATCTCGACCAGTAGCCAGAAAACTAATAGCGGCCCACGAGATAATTATAACTTACACGATACCCTCTGTTTCGTTACAATATCATTGCCCAAGAAATCTAAACAGGCGGCTTGCTTAGCGGCGATTATTTTTTGATTAATAACCATGTTTTCTTTTAAATAAAGAAAGATTTATATTCAAATTTCATTTTCATTTATATTTACGATTTATATTTAATGGATGAAAATATTTAAATTCTTTGTAAACATAAGTGGCAGGGATTTTTTTTATCCACAAAATCGTGTTTTTAGAAAACACACTCAGACATAAGCATTTTTTTCAAGAAATTTCGAGAATATTCAAACAATAAATATAAAAAAAAATTTTAAGAGATACAAACTCAAATGTAAAAACAATTACTTGTTTCATAATTAAAGTCTTTGAAAGGGTTGTACCTACATGTATCTCTATATGCTGGATTAAGATAAGAAATAAATATGCACATAAGGCATCCTAAATTATCAACCAAAAACTATTAGAATTTTTTACGAACAATTTCTAAAACAAGACAAGCTATTACAAACAAGTTACTGAAACAAGTATATAAAAGGTCTCGCTCAAATTCATCATTTCACAAGTTTCATTGTCGATAAAATGATAATGTCATCAAATACAATGTATCATTAAGTCAGTTTCGTTCTAGTATCTACTTTATATGCTACAATTTTAAACCTATAAATTTTAGATAGGAAATGGGAAAAAATCCTGAAAAATATCCTGTTTTTAGCCTTCTGATATATCTTATATCTGTTGTTGATTCATTTTTTTTTTTTGAATATTTTATTAATTATACTTTCATGTTCTCATTTCATAATATTACTTATTTTATATGAACCGAGATGAAAAGGGAAGGAAAAACTTATTTAATGTTATTTTCTGAGATAACGTCGACGTTTCAGTTGTAACTTATCATTTAAATTGCGTATATTTTAAATCTCGTATGCCACATGTTACTAAAACGACTTTAGTCAATGACATACATCTAAGCCTATTTTTTGTCAAAAATGGTATCACGGTGTTTGGTTGCACTAAAATTACTTAATTTGAGACTCCCGAAACAGCCCCCTAAGCATATGTTTGCAGTATAGATGACACAAGCTACTGGCGATAAATATATAAAAGACGTTTTTCCTAAGTGTAATTTGTTGTTTTCAAGGAACCTCGGAAGCTACGCATTCGTTAAAGACTACTTGAACCTTCATTGGTACGTATGTTTGTTACTTAGAAGCATTGAAATCTTATAAAGAATAAAATCGGAATGCTCACTGATCCTTCGGATAGATATAGGATTTTTTAAAAATGTTTAGGTGTTCTCAAGCAACGTGTCTTCATATATATATATAAATAACTAAGAAAAATTCTAATTAATTTTTACAGATTATATTATGATTTCATTTCCTCATACGCTATATACAAGATTTTCGTACGCTTTGACCTCGTTCTGGATTTTCTGTTTGGAATCTGTAGGTCGTTATTCAAATTATCATTGATTAATCATCGACTCCCTTTAGCAACACAATACAATTTAACCCATGAATCAATTCGATGTGTTTTTTTGTATTATAATTATAATCATCATTCTGCTTTTAATCCATTACCCGTCAATGGATACAGGCCTTTTTCACTAACGTTTAAATCATAAACTTTTAAAAGTATGATTATATATTAGATCATGTAGTATTTTAATTTCAGAAAATTGAACAGATATTTAATTCACTTAGTTTTCTCAGTTTGTCAAATTGGTTGCAAAATCTATGAATTATTTGATTTTGTGAAAACTTGATCACAAGGAATCAAACGATCAAGGACTCTTTGTTTGTCATTTATTTGTAGTGAATTATAAAGAATAGGAATATGATTCTGTTGAATTATGAGCTATTTTTCGGACTTCTAAAACAATCTTTTCATACCATAGATTTAACAGATTTAAATCCAAAAACATAGAGATGAAAGCCTTCCTCTTGATTCTGCTGTGTGTCTTTTTTATTGGTTCGTATGTTATATCTTAATCTATGATGCAATACGTCTAAATCAATAATATTTGTTTTCTTTTATGCAATAATTAAAACAATCTAATTTTATAATAAAGAGAAAAGTTAATGAAAAAAATAAAAGGTTTCCACTCCAACACTCCAACATTTTTATTATAGATAAAAATAAAAGCATTTGAATATTTTTTAGCCTCTGTGGAAGTTGTCATGGCGGGACATGGTTGCTATGGTCCTTTATATCACAGCGACAGAGATTGCAGTGATTATTGCAAGGCTAACCTCGGTAAAAGTGGCGGATTCTGCAATTCGAGAAAATATTGGTTCGTGTGCTATTGTATTCCGTAAAGAGAACTGGAAAGGTAAAATGCAAATACGTTTACAGGGTAAATGAGTTAGATATCTTTTCTTTTTAATTTCTATGTCTGATTATATTATTAACAAGAAACCCTTTAACTATTACGTGTTCATGAGTTACTTTGGCCATTATGTCGTTTCCCCTATATTCCAATGAAAATATTTCATCCTTAAAAAGATATGCTTTAACCGAAGGTAATTCAGTATTGATATATCTAGCACGACCTTTGTTTTACGGAGAAAAAGTGAATTTTTCCTTCTGAAAATTCAATGTAAAAATTTATACCCGATTTAAGTCCCTACGTAACTCAAGGGTCAATAATCTCAATCCACATAAGCTAGGAATGTTTGCATGACAATATGATTTAGTGTTATTCCGTAAAGGGAAATGGGTAAAGTTTCAGCTAAATCTTTACAATACTAAACTAATATATTTCGAATGATAATTAAAACTTTGAATATCAGTTGTCGAGATATTCGAATAATTTAGAACTCCAAACCTTTGCTGCAAACAAGACCCATAGGAAATTTTGTTTATATAGATTAAATATACTAATTAGTATTGCTGATATATGTTCGTTCAAACAGATATTATCAACGAGAGGTACATTTTTTTCGTTGTACTGTGAGCAATGAGCTTAGCAAATGATACCCCCTACCCCCAGCCTCTCATACGATTATAATAACAAAGTCGCTTTTTTGCTCTTGGAGACTGGAAATAAGTGTGAGATCAAAAAGTGAAATAGGAGGTGCACAATGACATCATGTAAAAAAAAATTGTGAAAGTATAATTAAATTTTATTCAGTCGTATAGGAGAAGTTGCGAATAAATTTTCAATACTACAGAAAGAATGGCAGAGTCAATGTTTTGCTCTGGAAAACCCAAAAAAAGCAGCTAGGATAAGGCTGTCCGTAAAATATCAAACTGTTCAAATTGTAATAACTTCTCTGTACTACCATATATGACCCTCTGTTTAAAGTGGACTGGTACAAGTTATTCACTAGGAGAAATTGAAGATATACTGTGTGAATCTACAAGAAAAGTATGTCTTTTAACTGAATTTTGCTGTGGGATTTTGTGTAATTTATCCATTTTTGTATAAATCGCGATAAAGAGTAGAAAATACCCCTTATGTTGAAAAATTGAATTTCTCGTAAAATATTTTCTTAGCGAGTAAAAATTAAACCTGCCCCCAGCACTTTCTATGTCCCAGAGATCACGATGAATTGATCTATGTAACAAACTTTGCACAATATTTATACCCTTCGCTTAAAAAACGGGAGGGTATATTGTATTCGGTATGTCCGTCCGTTCGTCCGTCTTGTCCGTCCGTCTGTTACGCTTTGGTCTGCCTATCTCTTATCTGCTACTCCTCTCATAATATTGAATGATATTTGATGAAACTTTAAAAGAATCTTTATTACATATTGCCATTGTGCATGTTCTATTTTACTTTTTGATCTGACACATATTTTGGGCTTTCCAAACAAAACATGGACACTCCCATATTCATATGGGAGGTGGTGGTATCATTTAATGAGATCATTGCTCACAGTATCTCTAGTTTTGTTTTGCACTTGTGCCGAAGCGTTTTTTGCAACAATTAGGAATATAATAAACCTACGTCATGTGATCATCAAAGTCATCTGACATCACAAAATACTAAAAAAAAAGAACCTGATTAAATTATTATCTGAAGTTGATTGCAATTTCAAACAAGGATTACATATTAAAATTAAAATCTAGCTCAATTAAAATGTATATTTTTAGGCATTTTAAGCTTACGGATATTCTTATCGTAACTCAGATCAACAAGTAAAATAGGAGGTACACAAAAGCGTTATATAACGAAGATTTTGTGAAAGTCTCTTCAAATTTCATTCAGCGGTAGAAGAGGAGTTTTAGATAAGATTTGGGTACCCCAAAGCTTAACAGACAGACGGACGGACGTACAGCTAGACGGACAGACAGAGGGACGGACATAGTGATTACTATATACCCTCCCGTTTTTCAAGCGTGGGTTTAAAAAGGTTGTTAATTCTAAATGCATTTAGTCAATTTATATTGTATTGCTGAATCAGTTTGTTATACATTGTAAACATGATATAAACATTATTTACACCATGAAAAATTCTAAGCTCTGTATCTCATTTCTAAATCAACAAATGATCCTCAAATGTTTTGCTGATCATTAAAATTGCCTTACTGAAGAGTTGTAAACATTATAATAGATAAAAATAAAGTTCAGTTGAAACTGTGTCCATACCCCTTTAAAATCTGTTCCTTAAAAGATTGATTTAATTTCATGCACGTTTCCATATTAAACTCTAATACCCTACTGTAGCAATCCCTACTTCCGAGGAACATGATTTTAAAAGAGTATTCCTGTACTAACAGGGACAGGGTATTTTGTAATAAATACGTATGCTTCAAGCGAAATTATTTGTATATACTTTTGAATCTGATGGCACAAATATTAAATCTCTAAAATATTAAAAACTATTTAAACATTCTATGTCGTGCAAAACTGCAGATTACTGTTTTTTTTATCTTGGTCAACATCGTTGCATATCTAAACATTCTTTAAATTTACTTTAAAAGAAAGGATATTACTTAAAACTTTAAATGAAGAATGAAACATTAAGTGTGTATTATCTTTTTCCTTAACTGTAATATAAAGGCATACATGAATTTGTTAATGTAACGAAATATAATGTAACGAAATTTGGGCAAAGGCTGTTGTATCATGTTTCGTCTTTATTTCACTAATCGCAATCCTGTTCTTTTAGGGAAGAAGGTTTTAAAAATTTTTGTTTTTCACCTGTGCCTCCGACTTAGAAATGACTGCATATTAGGATGATTTCATATCAATATAAATGATCATGATTAATCACGAATATGTTCCATGTCCCATCCTTATGCTCACCCCGGGGGAATAAATTGATAAAATTTGAATATACGTAGCTTGTGAATCGATATAATTAATGCCTTGTGGTTTAAAATGAAACTTGAATTTTTCTATATTTTCTGAAAACTGCAAAACCTTATTGTGGCCTCAATTTATCCTAATAAGAGAGGTGATGAGATGAACAGAATTCAATCGAAACTACATAGATACGGAAGCTTGCTTATATCAAATTAACGTGAATCCTTAAAAAAATATTTTTTAATGTGTTTTAAACTTTGATCTGTTGTGAAACCACACTCACAAAAGAGGACATTAAATGTTCAAGCTTAAATCGTCACTACGGAAGGAATTTCTATAATACATTATATCATTAATGAACGATTTGTTTTTGGGGGAAAATAAAAAAAAAACGTTACCACTATTTTTCAATATTCTTTAACTCCCTTTGATAGATTACGCATCCTTTTATTTGAACAATATTAAACGCATGTATCAACAACAATGCTTCATGACAAATTGGTATCATAATGGTATTTGCTCAGTTCTTCTACTGAAGAAATTGAACATGATAAAAGTATTAAAATGGAGGACCGAGGTAATCTTGAATAAAATTCAATCCAAATAGGTCAATTGCTCTTTCAGGTCAGCAAAAATAAATATTTTTTGGTGTATTTTTTTGAAATGTCAAAGTTATAGAAAAATGAAAACTTGGGTCTACTTTATATCTTTTTCAGCATATGTCAGATAATGCATGTAGTTCTGTTATTCTGATACTAAGGATAGGGAGGAGAGAGAAATTTGTTTTTTTATTTAAACATGTTTGCTTATATTTCAGACAAATTCAGGCAAAACTGGATTCACGGTGTTGTAACGAATTGCAAATAAAGGGTTTAAAATATTAATAGTTATTTTCGTAAATTACCAGTATTAAGTATTAAAGGGTGATATGTTACACGGTATAGATAGATTCGGGAAATAACCAATGAACCTACTTTTTTTATATCTACATACAGCGAAATTTTCTTTAAAAAATCCATAGGAAGTCTTAAACATTCAATATCTTATGACGGTTGCAATCATCGACGATAGAATACACAGTAGGAACTATACATGTATACATTTTTAATACACAAGGAACATCAAAATATATATTGCTTTGGCTAAATTTGATAAAGAAAATTTATCCTTATACGTAAATTATCAATAAAATTTAACAATGGTACGTTTAAGATTTATTTTTCAATTTTCCCTAGCAAAACCCAATTGCATTTTATACTCTCGGAAATTCCATGGGTACTGGTTGTGCTCCATTATTAACAGACCTATCTTTGTATTCATATGGAACAGGATTTATGACAAAAAATTTAAACTGAAATAAAGTCGATCGACTCTTGCTGTGGTCTATTCAAAATTTAGATATATCGATCAATTAACATTGTTCATTTCCACCACTACATTGATTCGATATATCCTTTTGAACTTGAAATTTAAGATACCAGCGAGTCTGACACATCCGCTTCATATTAGGATATTTTACTCAAAAGAATGTTCATGGTAACGTTATAAGGAAAACTTAATTTTTTCTTCATAACATATTTAAAATCTAAAATTTTAAAACATTAAAAAAACACTATTACTACATTAAAAATAAAATAGTTTTTAAAATCAGTTACCTGTTTATAAAATTGCAATTAGATTTTTTTAAACCCTTGATTCCTTAATTTTGTTAAATTGTATTAATCATGTGGAAATAGCTGCTTTGAAAGAGTTCTTATTCTTCATTTTACTGTGATGCGCGAATTATTGTGCATTGACCCCCTTTAGAGGATTTTGATTTTAATATTCATTACCTAGGAATAGTGAGGCACGTACTGTAAGATTTCATTATACTTGAACAGTTTGACCGTAGCAATATATACATGGGACATTATTTTTCACGATGAAGTGTGGAAAATCTAAAATATTCTAACTTGTACATTCAATTAAACAAAACAAATCAATATCATAGGAAACACAAGCTCTAATGCACATAAGGTGGGATAAGGTGCCATGGAGGAGTGAAAATTCCTTGTCGATAGGTCACTTCCACCAAGTGCTCCTTGTCATGATCAGGAAAATGGCTTTGTAACTGGATTACCATTACCCTATTCTTTTTCTAGTAAAATATATAAATATGAAATAAATGTTTCAGTCTCTGTGGTATCAATGCGTGATCACATGAGGAGATTCTGAATGTATTCTTTGTTGTGGTGAATCCCGTACAAACTGAATGCATTCATTCTTCTCTACTCTGCTTTGTTTATAAAGTAAACAAAGTCTTATTTATTTGCTTTGATAAAATTGATTCATTGCACAGAGAATGTGTTTCCGATATTCCTTTTTTTGTGATGGAAAATCCCGGTTAGTGTAGATTCATTTTTTAAGCCCTTCTTCGTTAAGACATACTAGTTCATGTATAGTATCATCGCATTATATATAAAATTCCTGTTGCAGTAAAATAAGAATTAGAACAGGAAGAAAAAATCAAGCACTTTTTAAAAAAAATATATGTATATAAGGATCCATCAAGTCCACAAAAAATTAAGAAGACAACTAGGTAACGAGATAACGATGACTGAATTATCAGCAATGATACAATACGACCAGACGACACCCAAATCGGAACAAGAATGGCCCTCGATGGTCCCACCGACTCTTTTGTTTGTCTTTGGAACATCGGGAAACATGTTGGCTTTGGTTATTCTCTGCTGTTCTACAAAAACACACAAATGGCGACCGTTCTACCGCTTCGTGTGTGGACTTGCCATCACAGATGGAGGCGGGGTGCTACTTTCCCATCCAATCGTCATGGTGCGATATGGTTCCTATTTCGAATTTACCTATCCTGAGCGATTGTGCGACTACATGGCATTTATATTCATGTTTACTATCCTGGCCTCGGCACTTATTGTCTGTGCCATGTCTTTTGACCGTTTTATAGCAATTCTGTATCCCCACGTTTATAACTCCCCGACCAAAAACAGGAAAGCTGTTTTAACTCTGGCAGGAATTTGGATTTTCTCTGCCTTTATGTCCAGCCTCCATTTGATGGTCGGTCAGAAAAGCCAGAATTTTTTCCCGGGTTCTTGGTGTTTTATGGATTTTTCAGATTCTGCCACATGGAGTAGGATCCTGGCAATGTTGTATTCCCTGACAGGCATTCTGATCCTCGCCACCACCGCCGTACTGAACACCGTGGTGATTGTCCGGGTCTGTTACGATAGCCAACAGAAGAAGAAAAACATAACAAAGAAGAAGAATATCCACATCATTGTCTTCCTCTTCCTAATCGTGGTCTTGTTTTCTTCCTGTATTTCATCACTTTTAGTAAGTATTGAATTATCCTTAAGTTGATGGTAGACATTTTATAAAATTTTAGAATGCTAATGGTTAATTGAAAGGCTGAGCTACGATGAGAGTATTAGCAATAAATAGTATCTCTGTACCGAGTGTATAAAACTAAGATGCTTATTTTTATGTTCTCAACAGATTAATATATTTGGCCATGCAGTTGGGACCATTTCGGGAAATGGAGAGTTTGAACTTTATTCGATTCGTCTTTCCATTTTGAATTCAATCATTGATCCTTGGATCTACATTTTATTTCGGAAGGATACATTCGATTTTTTCAAGCGAAGAGTCGTTAGTTTTGGATTTATTTCAGTATCAAGCTCTAGATCTACCTCTGGCACTCAAACCTCCAAAAATTAAAGCCCTTCTAGCGATCCGTATGCTGGAAATGGTCAATCTAGCTTGACTGGAACAACGAATTAGAAAATTCATTAGTACAATTCTTACGAGACTTAAAAACGGTGGCTGCTTAAGTTGAAAAACACAAATCTAGACAAAGAACAAAAACATACTTCTTCTGTTGTAAAGACAATTATGGTATAACCTGTATGTAAATACATGATATCTGAAATTTTTAATAAATAATATATAGCTATATATATCTGTATAAAACATCATATTTTTCTTACTTAACATATAAAAATAAAATCATTTTTGAAATACCATGGGCATTCCAATATTTGCCTTGCGTCTGACACATATTTGGATATTCTACTGACTATAGACGACAAAGACCAACTAGCATGTAAATTAGACGATAAACAAGGCGTTCCTTATTTATATAGTAATAATCTAACATCACCTGCAAAATGATTTTATGTCTCCCCATGAAATTCGCTACTGAATACCATGCTTAGAATAAGATCAATTTTCAAATCGAAACTGATGCTACAGGGATTTCGACAACCTAGTTTAAAGTCAGCATATTGTTAGTTCTATAGTTTTATAAAGGCCTTTTTAGCAAAAATAACCTGTCACAGGGTTGTATTTTAGCCAACTGTTTTAGCTCACCTGAGCCGAAAAAACATTATGTTCATCAATCAATTGACGACCGGATGTTGACAGTACTTATTAAGTATTTTTTTTCGAGGAACATATCATGAGAGACAAAAATACAAGAATGTATAGATCAAATCATTGAATAATAATTTCATTTAGGACTATTCACTTCCTCAAATCCCAAATATAGAGTCACGTCCAGTTTACCATAGTAAACATTTTATTATTATCAATTTCTAAAGGGATTTATGCGGAAATGTCAATATTCGTCCATACAATCAAAGTTTGACGGAGAAATATATAATTATTTTTAAAACGGGGGGGGGGGGGAGAGAGAGAGAGAGAGAGAGAGAGAGAGAGAGAGAGAGAGGGGGGGGGGGGGGAGGGGGTTATCTGCATACTTCAAAGCACTGAATATACGGCGGGTATGAGTGGGCAGCAGGGGATGCTCACTCCTCCATGGCATCTGATCCCACCTCTGATGTTTTAGAGGTCAATGTTTATTCTGCTCCCATTTTGTATTGTTTTATGGACTTTGATATTGAATACTATTCGTTATCTCCATATCCTTCATTCATATACCATGTTATCATATGTTTAATTTGAAGTCAGGATAATGAAGTAAGTTTAAAATTTCCATGATGTCTACATTAAATGATGTACGAGGGTTACGTTATTATTTTGAGCAAAAGTCACCGAGCGCAGGTCTGCTAAAGATCAATATTTTGATATGAAGTATAGAATAATAATATCATTGAAATATGTAAATATTGTCCTTTAGCAGACCTGTGACCTCAATATTTTGGAGCAAAAGCTGTATATTTTTTCTCTCTGAAAATTAATACAAAATCCCAACACAGTCAGGTGAAGTTTGTGACGTTTAAAAAACAAAAATTGTCCATAAACTACTTAATTTAAACTATAATATATTTTTTTCATTTAAATTCCTCATACAATATATACAGTTTAGCTTATTGCAAGAACTTTTCAAATTATGACTTTTCTGTAGACAAAAATGTGCAATATACCGAAGAATAATCTTGAAAAAAAATCTTGAGGCTCCTTTCTTTACTTTATTTGGTGATTGATCGTTCCGTGTTTTGAAGCTTATTGAATGAAATTTGATTTGTTGTTCTGTTTTTCTATCAAGTGTTAATTTAGTCATTCATCAAAGTTTGATTTTTTTTAACTCGGCTTATTTGTCTTTTTCGGATTTTTAGGATAGATAAAAAAAATTTGGTAGGGCCTCCCCTTTTCCTTTCCTGCTGACAGACTGTTACACTAGCTAAACTAAACACATTGGTAACATATCACTTACTAGAAGATATTAAAATCGTAAGCTTCATCACATCGACATACCGATAAGAATGGAAATAACCAATGTCAATTATTAATACATCGTCAATACATCTAAATGTCGAGATGAAGACAACAGAAAGTGTTTTCTTCTTTTCCCGTATAAGTTTTGAAGAAAGTCTGTTTCATTGGCATGAAGTAATAGAACTGCTGATAACGGGATTATCCATTATGGGGATCGGTTGAAATAAAGTTGAAAAGACTCTGATTTATATGTTGCTGATTTTGATTTTTTTTTAAATTTTACAATATTAAAAATTGTCAAAATTGACATATGATATGCTGAAGAATTTCCTCCCTGGAAAGGAATCTATGGGTATAGGTTGGATAACCACTTGTATAGAATTTAATCCAAGTTCCTCTAAAAGAAATTCAATCGTTAATTGAATTGATTGTTTAAGTGAAGGAATAGAGATGCTTAGATATAGTGTTTGTTCTGTTTTCCAGTGAAAGCAAGCTAGACCAAAGATGTGTCCTTCATAGTGCCATTTGTTATGACAGATCGCCAAGTTACAGATAGGAACATAGTTGAATATATCCTAAAAGTAATATGATTATTAAATGCCTAAAATATCGTTATCTTTAGATTTTTTTTATCTTTAATTGCACATCATCAATACCTATTTACAATCGCCAGTTAACCCAGGTATTTAGGATAACCAGCAGCATGTAAACAGATAAAACAAAATATAGATTTTAAACATTTCAGATATGACAAAAAGAAGGCACCTATACAATATCAATATTGGGTAAACGCCGTTCCTGAGAGAGAGGACTAGATTTGAAATGGTCGACTTGTACATTCTGGCATAAGACATCCTTTTAAACCCATTCTATTTCAAAATCTGACATTAAAGCTTCTGTGATCAGAATGCTACGGAGCATGTCATGTGACCGCCGGATCACGTGATTCGCGCATGGACAGAACGATGGCAGATGTGCATCATAATTTCATGAAAGTGGACGAATTAGAAAAAAAAATAATGAACGCTGAAACTTGATTTTTCCTCTTGTATATAACTTTATCAATTAGTTCGCGAACTTTATGGTCATCTCTCGTAATTTTATAGCCCCGTGGGGATCCGGGTTAGAATAGGTCCTCGGTACCCCCTTCCTTGTCGTAAAAGGCGACTAAATGGGGCTGTCCTTCGGATGAGACCGTATAAACTGAGGTGTGGCACAATAAAGATCCCTCCCTGCTCAAAGGCCGTAAGTGCCGAGCAAAGGCCTAAATTCGAAGCCCTTCACGGGCAATGGTGACGTCTCCATATCAGTGAAATATTCTGGAGAGGGACGTTAAACGGTATACAATCAATCAATAAATCGTAATTTGATAAATTATTATCGCATTAACCAAATAATTGAGTCATGCAGGTCAATCTTAAATGTTACCTTTTTGAAATACATGACTGTAAATATTTCCGTTTCTAAAATTACTATTGAAAAGTGTTTTTGTTTTCTTTTAAACCAATTTAAAAAAGCAATAGTTATTGGAAATCTTTAATCGAAAATTCATCTAAAATTCTTTTGTTCTATGGTATATTGCATATGTCAAACAGCAATTAATTTTGCAGAACTGTAATTAATAGCAGTTTTGTCATGACATGGACAAAATTTGCCCTCAATTTGGCCGATGTCTTCACATGCCCAGCCTTATAAGCTCTCATGCGAAGATATATGGCCGAATTTTGCTAGAAGCTCGCTGCGCAGTACCGTTAAGGCTTCCCGGAGCTGAAAATGTATTTATAAAGTAACATTGCATTGCAAAGTTTATTTTGAGTTTTATTTGTAAGTTTTGTACTTCAGTACGCCAAATTTATATAGAGAATCCTCTAGGGTATTTATAAAAACATTTGTTACGATGTCACATGACCTTCTTGATCACGTGACGGTCATTTCTTCTTTTTGGAAATGTTCCTCATAAATCGCTTCGGCGCAGGCTGTTAACACAATTATTATTATTTTTTTGTCACATAAATAACTCAGTGCATCATTGTGAAACCGAAAAGTCCTTGGGAAAATTTAAACCTTTTCTTTGGAACAATTTATTTCATATTAACTTTAACTTACCGACAAATCTGAGGGTATTTTCCGCTGAATATCGTCATTTCTTTTAAAACAAAGCCATCATTCATTTTTCCCAAGCAGGATTCAGTTAGAGGGGAAACTCCTCTTACATATTCCACAAAAGATATTAGATAAATCCTCCTTAACAACCTGCGCCAGGCTCTTTTATACACATATTATGAATTCTGCCTCTGTCCATGGGTGTAAAAAAGGGTAAATGTCAAACGTATATTTCCGTATGTAGTTTGAACACGCTGACTCTTATACAAGAGTAATGAAGCAAAGCTATCTTAATTATTCGGATATATTAGACTTTTGAAAAAATTATAAAAACACCTTTATTTTAAACTAGCATTCTGCAATTTTATATGCAGATTGAAATGAGGTGTAAAGTTTATGACACTCTCCCCATTATTACAGCTCAAGTATGCAGCGACTTTACGTCATTTTCAATTATGACGTCATACATTTGTAGTTCAGAGAAGTTCATGCGGAGAGTACACTACAATATTCTCTGGGAAGCCTTATTGTACCTGCGTGCTGATCCTGTTATCTTCCAGGGTCCGTGGCCAATTATTGGACTTAAGTCATTGTATCATAGTTCTATGAACATTCTACATCATTCACTGTTGAAAAAGTCGATGTAAATGTCCTGGTAATACATTACCTGCTCATTGCAAAGTAGGTATCATTGTATACCATAGAATATCATTGTATTTCATTGAATATCCTTGCATATCATTGAATATCGTTGTATATCATTGAACTATCATTGTATATCATTGTATCCGTAGCCTTTACTCAATATACACTTTGTCTACATCGTTGTATTCATACATTGAGTACATCATTGTATTGATGATTCATTTTGTCTGTTAATCAATAAAGCCATGTCAAAAACTGCCAATCATTGTTAATCTATTTTCTCGACATAACAG